AAGTAGCTGCATTTAAAAAAGTGAAAAGAAGCAGGGGAAGTTAATTTTGATAATATATTTTATTTAACCAATATATCCAAAATATTATCTTGTCAATATGTGACTCTAGGCACATTTCAAGTGCTCAAATGCTATGTGTGACTAGTGGCTACCTACTGGACACTGCAGCAGTAAACCATGCTAAAGTCAGGAGAACACACAATATTTTACTAACTACTATGGTTTTTCAAGGTCACTGAAGGCTTTTTTTTACTGTATCATCTCAAATTAGTTGTTAGGATTACAATTTACACTTTGGTTGTCCTAAAGAACAATGCTTTACATCCTAGGTTTGATTCTGATCTCTGTCCACTACTAACTGAATTGAGCAAGTTACTTAGTCTCTTTGAATCTTAGTTTTCTCATCTGTCAAGTGAGCAAAATAAGTATCCTCCTAATAGATTCCTAAGAGGCACTCATCAAATAGCTAGTCCTTTTGATATACTATTACTTCAGACATTACATTTTTCACAGGTTTCTCCTGAGAAATTGTTTAGCTCCAAGTCTCATCTGTTGGTGGCTTTAATTCTTGCAACACAACTTTGCTACCTCTAACATCTATCTTTCTTATCATACTCAAACACCAGAGGAGCAGATGCACCAACTTTAACCTCTTCCTTTTCCTCTTAATTCTTTTTAAGTAAAGTATTCAATAGGCCCACTTCTCTGGTTTAGTGTTTTTGTTTGTTTTCTGTTCATTACTGGTTCCCAACACAAATAATAGCACCCAACAATGGCTCAGCCCCTTGGCCCTCTGTTTGGATACAGAACCTACAGATCAGTTTCTGTCCTTCATGAAGTTTGTTTAAAATTATCACCTTGAACCCTACAGCCTACTAAAGTGTCCCATCTACTGCTTTCAAGCTCCAGATCTTACAGTACTCAGACCTAAAGGAACAGGTCTATAGGTTGACTGAAGTTTTCTGGGTACACTGTGGAGCATAATAAAACAGTATCACTGATCTTTCTTCCATAAACTGACATCACTAACAATATAGCACATCATTTACCATGTTAACCTTTAGTGGTTTCATTATGCATTTTTTTTGCAATTGGATTACATGTTGAGCACACCTAATTTGAAAATCCAAAATCTGAAATGCTCCAAAATCTGAAGCTTTTTGAGCACCAACATGATGACACAAGTGGAAAATTCCACAACTGATCTCATGTGAAGGGTCACAGTCAAAACTCAAGAAAACAACACACATTACATCCCCAAGAGGAAAATAGAATTACCTTTGGAGTAATGAAATATAAATAAATTATGTATCTAGACTTGGGTCCCTTCCCCAAGATACTGCATTCTGTATATGTAAATATTCCCAAATCCAAACAAACAAACAAACCAAAAAAAAAACCCTGAAATCCTAGACATCTCTGGTCCCAAGCATTTCAGATAAGGGATACTTAACCTGTATATGCTCCTTGAAGGGAGGGATCAGGTTTCAACAAAGGGTTAACTTTCCAGGATCACTGTATCTCCCACAATACTGTACACACAGCAGGGGCTCAAGCAATAACTCTGCCTACATGGCAGTTTTCTGGTGGGTAGAAACTAGTTTGTAGAAACAAAGGAATCCACATGCGTGAACCAATAGTGTCTGGGGTTCTCAGCAGGAACCATCAAATTCTGCAGCAAGCACATTTCCCCGGCCTACTACCACCACTCCAGCCTTAAAGGCAGGCACCTGAGTTTTTCCTAGGTCTGAAGGAACGCCTCTGTCCAGCAACGGTTACTGGTTTAGTTGGCACAGGAATGAGGTTGGGTGCTATAACCACTCACAACCTAATTCCCATTCCCCAGACGATTTTCCTAGGAGTGAAAGACCAGCCACTAATCATAGGCCAGCCTTGCCTCCAGATCTGTCTCTGGGCCGAGTGCCCTTTCCATAACACTCTTGCCACTGCATAGGGGACAGATCTCATTTCGGTGTCTTGCAGACTGAAAAGCCCTAAGATGCCTAGTGGTGATTCTCCAAAAACAGACCTTAAATATTATAACTTTGGCGGCAGATGAAAGGCTGTCAGGATAAAAATAGACGGGGATGAGTGGGTGAGAGATAGCGACCTTATCTTTCTTCTTTCAAAATTCAACCCGCCGCATCAGGCGGCACCTGTTCCCCTCGAGAAAGCCCTGTCCGGGAGCCGAGGTGGGCTCGGCCAGGTCTGGGATGCACTCGGCCAGCACACACATCCCGTGCTTACCACGATCACCACTTTGGGAGTCGGGCCCTTAACCTCCCGCTGTACGGTGCCAAACCGCTGGCTGTACATTTTCGAGTCCCCTTCAGGATGGGGACGGCGTCCGCCGCTTTTCCCCCAACCGTAGTGACCGGCGAGACCTGCTTCCGGGACGCAGAAGTCTGGTTGCCATGGTGCTTCTCGCGGGGTGAGGGCGCAGGTAGAGGTGGGCGAGCCGGGCGGAAGTCATTCTGGTCACCATGGGGGCTGTAGACGCCGGCACTCACGACTTCCTCTTCCAGCCTAGGAGCTGAGCCTGCGCGGTCCTCACCCCGCCCCTCGGCCAAACCCCGCCGACCTTGCTCCCTTCCTTTCGCGTTCATCACAATGGCAGAAAAAACCTCTAGCCCAAGAGAAATCGAACCTCTAATTACGATACCAGCTGACTTTGCTATTTATATCCTGTAACGGTCTAAAAGTATGAGAAAGGTTAGCAAACATTTTTGGGGAAGCTTAAATTTTGCACCATCTCTAGGTTAATCTTGATGACGGTAATAATCGCAGGAAAGGCTGGGTGCGATGGCTCACGCCTGTAATCCCAGCACTTCTGGAGACCAAGGCGGGCAGATCACGAGGTCAAGAGATCGAGACCATCCTGGCCAACATGGTAAAACCCCATCTCTACTAAAAATACAAAACTTACTGGGTGTGGTGGCGTGCGCCTGTAATCCTAGCTACTGGGGAGGCTGAGGCAGAATTGCTTGAACCTGGGAGGCAGAGGTAGCAGTGAGCCGAGACTGCGCCACTGCACTCCAACCTGGCGACAGAGCGAGACTCCGTTTCAAAGTCATTATTATCAATGCAGGAAAACTTCACATTTGTGTAGTTCTTTACAATTTCCAACATATTTTCACACAACCTTTAAACCTCACCGATTTTGAGACAAGGTCTCGCTCTGTCGCCCAGGCTGGAGTGCAGTGGCGTAATCATGGCTCCCTGCAGCCTCGTCCTCCTGGGCTTCAACCTCCAGAGTAATTGGGACTACAAGGCTCGCGCCACCACGCCCTGCTAATTTAAAAACAAACTTTGTAGCGATAGGGGGTCCCGCTGTGTTGCTCAGGCTGGAACTCCTGTTCCCGGGTTCAAGCGATCCTTGCCCCGCCCCTCCCGCTGGCGTCCCCAAGTGTTGGGATTGCAGGCTGCGCCACAGCACCTGATTGGAAATAGAAGGCTGAGAGCATAGCAAGTATTACTATCCTTATTTTCCAGCTAAGGCACAGCTCAGGGAGCCTAAGTGCCTTGTCAAACCAAATAACCAATAATTTTAAAACACACACACACAAAAACTAGTTAAAATCTTCCTACCTGCCCTGGGCAGATACCAAGGTTTAGACTTAGGATATTCTAGGCTGAGGGCAGATCAAATGGACTAGTGGGGCAGTGGTATGGCCTGGTGGAGCGTAATTGTTGAGAGTCAGAGGGTCACAGTGGACCTGGTTCCTGAGAATCAGGATCCAGGCAGAACAGGAAACACACATCAGGGAACCAGGACGGACCTGGAGCTCAGCTGGTAACCACAGTCAAAAGCAAGGTGGTAATACCTAAAATCCAATTAATAATGACACTCTGGTACTCCCATTCTAACGTGGAGGTGAGCATAGAACATTAGAGCACACACAACAAATCAGTACCTACGTCAGACTGACATATAATAACCATCAAAGTACAACTAATGTGTATACCCTCCTAAGGACGTAATTTACTGTAAATTAGCATTCCTTAATCATCTGTAAACCACCCACTTCGGATTTTGTATGTGGTATGTTTCTAAATACGAATTCCATTTCCTGATGCTGGTTCAGCTTTTCAGCCACAAAATAATGTCTTTCTTCTCTTTTAATAATTGTCATTTTGTGTGTTCTTTTCTTTCTATAACGCTTCTTCTTTCAATTGCAGTTCAGTAAAATACTCATTTGCATTTACTAAGAGTTTACGTGGCCTGAAACAAAAAAAGAAACAAATTAGGTTGTTGTCTCGGTTTCCTGGAGTGTCCGGAGGGGCGGTTCCTTGATCTTCGAGTCCAACCGGCAGGCTCGTCGGTCTGGGCGGAACCACCCCCACCACACAGCCTCCGGGAAGGCGCAAATGAAAACACCTCGGACCCGGAGCAGGGTTTGGGAAAATCGGCTGAGATTCGGTGGCGCCCAGTGGGCATTCCCAAGGTTGTGCAGCCCCGAGGGCCCCGTCGGAATTTCTCTGAGGCGATGGAGTAAAAGGACCCATGGCGACACCTGGCTTCCCTCCAACGTCCTAGGTCGTCGAGCCCCGCCCTCACCCTGGGCGAGCTCCGTAATTTAACCCCGGTTCAGTTTTGCCTGTTTTACCACTATTTGAAGAGGGGGACTCAGCTTCCCTCTGGGCCTGGCCCAGATACAGGGTTTGCGCCGTGCGGAAACCACGCCCCAGGGTAGCCAGGCCAGGGGTGATGGGTGACAGGCGGTACCTCCACGGCCAGGGTGGGTGACCGCAGCCGGGAACTACAGGCTTTCTCGCCCCAGCGCCCCCTGGCGGGCCCACCAGCAGGTCGAAGGTGTCCAGACGGTGCCCAGCACCGAGCCTCAGCCTTCAGCCAACCTCCCTCCCCCGCGGCCTAGGGATGTGAATCGCCCAGGGTCCTTGGACGGAAGTGACCTTGATCTTGCCACCCACTATTCCAGTTTCTCAGAGGCATTCAACACTGTTACCACCAAACCATTCCCAAAAGAAACACTAAGCATGTAAGTGGGACAAAAAAATTATTTAAAAATAATTTTTAAATAGAACAGCTTAGAGATTAAAAACTAAATTATTTCCAATTCCTACTGTGCCCCAAACAAGGTTCACAAAAGGGCTGTCCTCCCAGAATTTCCTGAATACTATACTTTCAGCATTAAATTCCATGATAAAGTTGGAAATCCATTCACCATTTGTAATACATATCGATTCATTTAATAAAACTGCATGGGCCATATCTTTTGCATTTCTGTATCCCAGTATTAAGTACAGTGCCTATCACAGGCCAGGTTCTCAATACTTGAATAAACAACACAAAAATAGCCAGGACCAGCAAGTTTTGGGTGGGCTTCATAGAATCTCTGCACTTGCTGGAATCACCATGAAATCCATGGTCTTCAGCTTTGCATATTCAGCAACATAGTTCTATTGAGTTATCCTCAGGTGAGTAGTGAGACCCTTGGGAGCTGATTCATGTAGGGTGGCTTTGTAATGTGTCACCTTGGCTAGGCTATGTTTCCCAGAACTCTCTTCCAGTAAGATGGGCCACAAGAGACATTCTGCCTGGTAACTGGAGGGCAGAAGTGAAGCAGCAGCATATTGTTTCTACACTTGGAAGGTTGGTGCTGTGTCACCAAGCGCTGTTGCAGTTCACACTTGTCATGTATCTGCTGGCTCACCTCGGTGTGGGCAGCAGTCAGGCCTTTAGCCAGGCCTGCAGCTGCTCCACCTTCCCCAGGATCATCCTTGAGCTTCTCTAATTCCTGGGCCAGATGGGTATTTAACTCTGTGAGGAAGGACACCAGCTTCTTCTGCAGGACACCCACATCACCGAAGCTGGAGGTGGAGAGAGACTGACATGGGTTCCAGGCCATCCTCGTCGGTTCCAGCTCGTGCTTGTCGTCTCCACTGTGTCCTTGGTCTCCCACATTTTACATCCATCTTCCCTTCCCGAGTGCCTCCCCTGCAGACTTCAAGCTCCAGCATTAGATGCAAGGACAACTGCCTTACAGACTGTTTAACCAGCTGCCACAATGGCATGCTGTCAGATCCCTATAATAAATCCCTTAAAATACATATATACATAATCTTTATCTTAGTGGTCCTGCTCTTCTGATTGTACTCTAATACATATGGTAGGCAGAAGCTTAACTCATGCCAAATAAATTTCATATAGACCATTGTCAAAATTACCAGAATACTAGGGTTGGTTGGTTGTTTCCTGGGGAAACAAAGCAGTATCAGTATCCAGCCTTGACTAGGGCTGAACTAGTTAGGATGGAATAAAGGAAGGGGGAAGGGAAGGTGGCAGAGGCTGGATTGTATGAGTTAGAACTGGGAAATGGCTAATCCACATCTGAATTACCTAAAGCTGCAAGGCTGGGACTATGGTAAGGCAAGGGAGGCACATAGGATATAAAGTGTTAAGGAGGCACTCACTCAGTCCTGGCCATGTAAAGCTGGCTAATGAATTACAGGTCAAATCTTTTTGGCACTTTATAAATGAAGAATTGGAGAGAGTGAGGTAGGGCTGAGCCAAGACTGGCCCTTGGGCAGGACTCAAAGCTGGGATTCAGCCTCCTAGAAGACATTCAGGCTGAGGGCAGGAGCCAAGCACAAAGGTCATCAGAGGGCAGGAGACGCACATTGTCAGGAAAGATGAACTAGGCTGGCAGCTTTAGTTACAAAGACTGCTCTGGCTGAAGAGGGGGAGTCAGGGTAACGAGCAAAATGGACAGCAGCCAGTGGGGAGAGATACCCTGTAGGGTTTGAGGAATCCTCTGCAGCACCTGGGGCCTGTAGGAAACCCAGTTTCTGTATGAACAGATGCTCTGACAAGGTGACTCCATCTACATCAAGCCGTGGCACTCCCTAAACCATGCTAGAGGCAGGAATGTAAGGGATTTATTACAGTACTTATAGTAATCTCTTGTGTTTTCACGGTCACTGAAAACTCCTGTTAGTGCATACAGGATTATAGGTTACAATTTAGTGGCTTAAAGAACAAGGGCTTTACAAGCTGGGTTTGATTCTAGGCTCTACTAACACCAGCTGTTTGACATTGGACAAATTAATGAGGCTCAGTTTTCCCATCCACAAAAATGGGCAAAATCAATGTCTTCCCAAAAAGACTGTTTAGAGGATTAAATAAATTGGGTCCATAGGAGGAACACACCAAATAGTGGTTCCTTTCATTTATTCAATTACATTTTCAGTTGATGTCTCCCTGAGGAAGTGTGCAGAGACACAGCCAGGTCTCATGTTTAGGTTGTTTTGTGGTGGGTTTACTTATATTACCTTTCCCCAGCCCAGCTCCCCCACCCTTAAAATCCAACTTCTTATCATACTCAGGCTCTTGGGGAGGAGAAGATGCACCAACAGTCTACTCTTTCTCTTCCTTTCCCGCTTACTTCTAGCAGCTCAAAGTACTGTTAGGCCTGCTCCTCTGGTTTGGTGGTAGGGTTTTCCTTCTAGGGTTGATTCACACACAAGCCCTGGCAACCAATCTAGGGTCCAGCCCCTAGTAGATCAGTGTTGTCTCTCATAAAGCCAGTCTGCAAATATCACCTTGAATCCTACAGTCTGTAGAAGCCTCCAGTCTACTGCTTTCTAGCTCCAGGTTTTTTAAGGTCTTTGGACCTAGAGAAGAGGGAGCAGGTCTGTATGTTGAATGAGGTTTGCTATGTGCGAAATGGAGCATTACAAAACCATTTCCTACTATCCTGTGTCCTCCATCCAGTTCCCCTTTAATGTTTTTTGTATCTTTAAAAACTCCCTGAAGGTAGGTATCCTGTGTCTCCAGAAGGGTAAGTTTTGTAGGGCTCATTGTCCTCAATGCTGTGCACCCAGACGGAACTCAATCAGTACTTCTGAAATTGGCCAAGTATATAGATGGAAGGGTTTCCAGCTTCGTGGGCTGGTTTGTAGGAGGAAAATAATCCACGTGCTTAGGCCAATAGTTTATATTGCTAGTGTCTGGGGCTCTATGTAGGGTCTGTCAACCTTCTGCAGGAGGAAGCATTCCCCTATCCTCCCACCATCCTAGTCCTTACAGACATCTACCCTTTGTCCTATGCCATCCCTACAGGGACAGTTCTGCATGGCAGCTGAAGTTAATAACTTCAATAGGCTCAGGAAAGACTCAAGAGATTCAGCCCAAGCCCTTCCACGGAGGCTGCTCCAGGAGGAGTACAGGGCAACCAGAGATCACACAACTATGTGTGAACCCAGCTCACAAAGCCAGCTCAGAACCCAGATCTCCTGCCCATCCCACTGCCCTGGCAAGCCCAGCACCATTTCTCTGATACACATTGCTCAATGTCAGGCAACAGCCCACTCAGAGGTCTCCTAGAGGCTCTAAAGGCCTTCAAGACCCTAAATGGTTATTCTCTGAATAAGAATTTATATATTAAAGCTGCCTCCTATAGAAATATCTTAGGAAAACAGGGACCAGACTCCCTATCTTTTTCTTTTAAATTTCATCATACAGTGTCAAGTCTTCCTCCTACCCTCAAAGGAGAGTCCTAACCTGGAATGCTATTGGGCTGGATCTCAGGAGAAATCTCTAGGGTCCTACACACACACCCCTCCCTCATTGATTGTGATCAGCATAGTGGGTGTGGGCCTCTACCTCCCACCACACCATGCTAAACTGCTGGCTATACTTTCAAAACTCAGGGCCCACATTTGGCCAACACCCACTCCTTCCCCACCCCTCACTGTGTGGGGCACACCTTGGCAACCAGACCGCTGTGTCTCGGAAGCGGGTTCCACCCAGGCTGAAAATCTCCGTGATCTAGAAAAGAATTAACACCATAGGTCAATGTGGTTGGTGGCGCTAAGGCAGGATCAGGGCAGGGTGGGACATTCCCAGCACTGACCACGGGTGTGCCAGCCCCTCCTGCCTCCTCCTCTGGGGCCAATTTGGAGGCAGAGTCATCCTTGTTCTCCTCCTTGTCCTCCTCAGGGTCAGGTGGCTCTTGCTTCACAGATGGCAGGCCTGGGTCTACTGCCTGGGAGAAGTGGGAAACAGACAGCTATTAGAAGGGCAGAGTTAGCCTGAGGAAAGTCTCTATCAGTCAACCCTTCACTGTGCTGACAAATCCTATTTCCATCACATTTCAACACAGAAATATCATCTCTCTGCTTTTAAACCCTTCCCATTCCTCACTGACCTCTGTTTTTCTGTTAGCTGGGCAGCAAAGCGGGCAAAGCTAGTTGCCTGTAGGGGGTAGGGTGTCTGTTAGACAGGCGGGGTAATTCTGCAGAAAGGTCGCAATCAGCACATCTATTGCTCTGCTCAAAAGAACCATCATGGCTCAGCATCACTCTGCTTACAGACCACCCTGCTACGGCACCAACAGAACATCCATCACTGCCCCCACCTTGCTAGGGCAGCCAGGCACCAATACGGGAGAAGTCAGGACAGCTGTGCCTGGTGTCCACTCGTCCTGGGTATCCGCCTTCTCTTGCTTCACCTGGGGTAAGGCCACAACCCAACTCAGGCCAGAGCACTGGGCCTCCTGCGTGAGGGAGGATTGCAGCAGACTTGGTCTCAGGTTCCTGGCATGAGGCTGGGTGGGGCTGGGAAGGGCAGGACAGGGTGGGGCCCTCACCTGCAACCGGGCTTCCGTGGAAGCTGCAACAGGGCCCGGCACCTGCACAGGACTGCTTGCGCCCTCCCGTAAAAACACAAGGTCAGTGCCAGGCGGAGGCAGCACAAAGCCACCACCTGCTTCCTGCTTCGATGGAGCCTGGGTACGGTCTGGTCGGGCTGTGCGTGTATCCAAGGTGGGCTTCAAGGTAGGGCCAAGATGGTGCCGTTGGGCAGAGCTGGGCCTCTTTCGACGACGGTAAGGTGGAGGCGATCCTGCCCCATCCTCAGACTCTGACCAGACACTGGGCAGCAGCCGCTTCTATGAGGAAAGATGGGGTGCTATGGCTACCTGGTGTCCTGACCAATCACATCCACCCTGCCCGGCTCCACATGCCTGCTAATCTCCCATCAGTCCCAGCACAAAATCTGCTAAATATGAGCCCTTCATCATTGAGCCTACTAGTCTCCTATTAGCAATACCAATGCCACCTAGACTCATTAAGCCAAGCACAATGTCTGTTAATCCTCAACCAAAGCTACTGCCCCACCCACCCACCTACCATGCTTGCCCACCACTCCCAGGCACTGGGGCGCCTGGCCCAACCTATCCCGGCCACCTGACCCTTCCTGCCCCACCCACCATGGCAAACTGCAGGCATTGGCGCCAACGACACTTCTGGCGCTTCTGGTTGCTGCCCCCGAATTTGGGCTTGTCGCAGCAGAAGTCGCAGCGGCCACAGTCCATCCGCCGTAGGCAGGCTGCACAGGCCCCGCACTTGCGGTTCTGCCGGCGGTTCGTGTAGGGCTGCTGGGGTGGGGGGAATGGGTGGTGCTGTCACTAGGACTAGGAGAGGCCATCCTCAACGCCTATTCCAGTGCTGGTCCTGGTGCTCCTCTAGCCCCATCAGAAGGAGCTACTTGCATACTAGTCTCAGCCTCCTGACTCCCTACTGGTCACTCCTCAGCATTCACTAGTTCAACACTGGCCACTATCACTGAGCCAGCTGGCCCTTGATATCATTAGGACTGTGGCTGCTCCACTACAGTATCCACTGCTGTATTTCCTAGGCCCCGACTAGCTACCAAGAAAATATCTCTGATCCCCATTTCTAGCAGCATTTTGATAACTCCCTATTAGCTCCCATCCTTGTGCCTACTCTGTCTGCTCAGCCTATGTAAACCCCAGTCACTGTGCTAGCTGCTCCTCTGTTGGTCCCATCACTGTGTCTGCGAGTACTACATCAGCCACCAGAGTGTTGGTACATGTAACATTAGGCATGTCATTCCACCTGCTGACCCCATATTAGTCCTCCATTATCTACCCATCCATCCTAGGACCCATTACTGTGCCTTGCTGTTCCCCAATAGGCTCATTCCAGCATCTGTTTCTCTGAAGTGAACCAAGCGTCCTGAGAGTCTAGGCTTATCCAGGTAGGGTTGGGCCACTCACTAGCTCGTCCTCGTCTACACAGTAATAGATGAACTCGGCAGGTGGCGAGGGGGCCAGGGCTCTGGGGTGCTGTAGAGGCAAATGGGGTGGGGTCAGGGCAGGTACTGGGTAAGGTCAGGGTTGTGCCTTCCCGCCACCCACTGGGGCCTCACCGGCTCTGTGGGCTCGGGGGGCTGTGATGGTGGAGGTGGAGGCAATGGCTGGGCACTGGGACGCCGCCTGGCAGCCATCTTGGAGTCACAGGCTCCCCTGCGGCGGCCATGTTTACCCTGGGAAAGACCAGAAAGGGTGGTTTCAGCTTGGTGGTACCAATAAGACACAGGACCTCCCCACTCCCTAAGTGCAGAAAGCATGCATGGGACAGGCAGACAGAGGGTGGGGTAAGGCACTCACAGTGGGGGGAGCCACAGTCAGGGGAGTGCGTCGCTGACATCTCTGATGACGGCGACGCAGGCGGTGAGCAAGGTGCTGGCAGACAGGGGCAGATAGGCGGGGCCAGAAAGGTGAGCATGGGGTTAGGTAGAAAAGAAAGACATGAGGTAGGCAAGGCCAGGTTGGGAGGAAGCAGAGGTAGCAACAATTTTACCAGCAGAATGAGCTCTGTTTCCGCCAGCCTGACTCACCCGTAGGCAACGTCGCTGGACACATTTCCACTGGCGCCTGAGACCAGGGCGGGGAGGGCGAAGGCAGATGCGGCAACGGCCACAGTCCTCTTGGGTCTGACAGCCCCGGCATACTCCACACCCTCGGCTCTGTTGGGGGGGCGGGGGTGGGAGCGGAGGCATGAAGCGTGGGGCCAAGCCCATGAGGGCCAGGGGCCGAGGTGAGCCTTGGGCTCTTTCCACTTGCCCGACTCACCCTTTCCACAATCCGGAGGCAGCGTCTCCGCTCACACTTGCAGAACAGCCCCGATGCCACATCATGGGGCAGCTGCAGGAGGCAGGTGGAGCAGGCCCCACAGTCTTCTGTTACCTGGCAGGCTGCACACTCCCCACAGCCCACACGCTGCCAGGAATGGTTGGGACGAGATCACGGGCCTGCTCCAGAAGCACTGGTCCTCCCATATCTACTGACCCTACATCAGCTCCTGTCATCATTCTAGTCCCCCATTAATCTCATCACTGTATCTGAGAATGTCTGGTTAGCCACCATCACTGAAGCCATTAGTATGTCGACTGGTCCCCTGTTAACTTCATCACTGTGTCTACTGGTGCGGTAATGGTAATGGGAATTAATTACCCCATTAATTCCCATTACTGTGTCTGCTGACCTACAGACAGCATATATAAAATGACTCTTCATCCTGTGGACCCGTCATTGTCCTTTCAGATCCTCTACCAGCTCCATCACATCCTGCTCCCACTGTAGAGCTGTGATGAGGAAGCAGGTTGTGCTTACCTTAAACATTCTCTGTTCCCTGTTGAACGCAATTCTCTGTGCTGTGGGGAGGAAGAAGGAAGAAGAAAAGTGGAAAGTAAGCAGCAGACATCTGACTTCACTCCCTGCCTGTGCCCTGACTTCCACTATTCAACCTCTACCCATACCTGCTATCTCCAACATCCAACCTCCAACCTCCAACCATGCCAGTAGCCTCTGTCCTGGCATCCACATTCAACCCCTGGCCTAGCATGACACTGAACCTGCTCCAGCTCCTATCTCCCGATGCCCCATCCTCTGGGTGTCACTGACCTCGGCAGTCTTTGCACAATGTTTTGAGCCGCTGTCTTTGGGTGCTATCCCCTGAGAAGCTGATTCCACAGTTCTCACAGCATCTGGGATGGGAAAGACAGGTGTGGGGCTCCAAGAGCACCCCCAATCACAACCCTCACCCATCTGGCTCACCTTAGACCAACACTCACCCAGGAGCAGGGAATGAAGCTGGGACTGTGACAGTGTCAGCCTTGGTCTCATCCTTTGGGGCCTCTTTCCTGATCTCACCACTCTGGGGTCCAACCTGACGTTTCCTGACCTCACCACCCTGGGGTCCAACCTGATGTTTTCGAGTCTTGGATGGTCTGGAAGGCTTCTTTCGCTTCTTGCTGGTGACAGCCACAGAATGGGCCTGGAGAGTAAGAGAAGGAGCAATGTGGATCAGTGGGTGGGTGCTGGGTGGCATAGCCACCCCTACCTAGGCATCTCATGTTGTGAAGTACCTTGGGGGCTGGATAACACAAGATGCCTTGTTTGAAGTCGAAGAGGGAGAGATCACACGCAGGGCCCAGGTATCGAGTCAGCTCGACTTTGCTTCGGATCCTGTCTCCTGTGGGGCTAGGGATGGGCCATGATGGGTTAGCACCTAGGTGGAGCCAATGCCATTTCACCCACACAACCTTCTGACAGGGCTGGTAGGATACAGGAGGCAGATTGGAATTGGCCTGTGAACCCTGCCCAGGCCCACCTCAACTAATCTTGAAAGCAAAAAAATTAAATAGCAAGACATATACAAATGCCACAAACAATATAAAAGTAAACAGATAAACATATTTATGACACATAATACTAGTAATATTGAAACTATTTCATATAAATAAAAATAAATACAAATAGAAACACAAATATATTAAATAACACAAACATGTTAGCATTATGTATCAAGTATATAATCAAGTAAAGAAAATACAAATACGTTTTTAAAACATATAAACAAATGCAACCACAAACAAAGTATAAGTAATTGACTTTGGGACCCATGGGTTTCTTGCATTTCTGTACGCCCTGAAAGAAAGGCACTGATTGTCCTTTTTATAAACTATCTTTCCAAGAATGTCTGTAAAGCAAACAGCCTTGAAAAATAAGAGATAGGGTCTCCTTCCATAGCAAAGGAAAAGCATATTTACTGTCCTAATATCATAAAAAACTTGATTCCCTAAGCTCAGGGTTCTTTTCCTATAATACTAATACAACCCTACATGACTAATTCATGTCATGCTGTAGAAACTGGAATTTAGAAAACTGGCACAAAAATAGTAACACAGTAATCTCCCTTCTCGTGCAGGGGATACATCCCAAGTTCCCCAGTGGATGCCTGAAACCGTAGATAGTACCAAACCCTAATGCAATATGTACTATGTGTTTTCTATCTGATAACTGAGATGGTTACTAAGAGAAAAACAGTCAGGTTGTGTATACAGCATGGATATGGATATGTATATGGATAAACAGATGATTCGCCTCCTGGCCAGGACAGAGCAGGATGGTGTGAGATTTCATCACACTACTCAAAATGGCATGCAACTCAAAACTAATTAATCGTTTACTTCTAAAATTTCCCATTTATTATTTTTGGATGATGGTTGACCATAGATAACTAAAGCTATAGAAAATGAAACTGCAGATAAGGGGTGACTACTGTATTCTGAATTCTGCAACTGTTGTAATAAACTGTCTTTCATCTGTGGCCCAGGAGTCTTATCTCTCCTACCAGCATCCACAAAATTCTGACAAATTCACTATTATCTTGTCCTAAGAATAAAATCTCAGATCCTTCACAGTTCTTGACAATTATACTTTTAAATTTTGAAAGTTTTATACAAGTACATAAATATACGAATAAATTATAACTAAATATAAACAAAAAGTAATTTGTAATTTGATATTTACCTGGCAAAATGGCAACTTAGATTTAAAAAATCAGAAAGGATATAGAAACTTAATATTTAATGTATCCTAAACACATGTAAATGCTTATAAAAATATCTATGCTGACTCTCATTATTTATGGTAGTTATATGCTACAAAGTTGCCATGAACACTGAATACAGAACCACTGCTCCTAGAGGAAATACACGGTTAGGTTCCTGAGAGCATCTGGTCCATTTTTGTTAACTAAGAATCTATAACTTTTGTCTTTTGTGTGTTTCTGTTTAAAGACACATTATTTAATATCTATTTTTTACAACTGATTATTTCCATGGTCTTCTAATGATTCCAACCAGGAGCTTTGGATGCCGTATGTGTTCTGTAGGTTTGTTTGCCAATATTCTTGTTTAATAAGCCAGTCTTGGCATTGAAAATCACTCTTCTACATAACTCTCTTCCTGTATAACACTTAACAGTATTTTTTAAATTCTGCAGAAGACTCCTGATCGGGAGAACCTGTATTGGATCCAAGTTTAACATTTTTCATGCCATGCCACCTTTTGAAATGCGCAAGTCAGCCAGCACTACCTGATATAACCTTAATAATTTTTTCCTAACCCAGGGTAACGTGAGTTTGGCTTTCTTCAACAATGCTGTCCACTACGCATTATTGATCATCATTTCGTGAATCCACCAATGTAGCCGCTTTCTCAACTTTTCCACAGCTTCAACACTATGAATGCTTTCTGTACTTTCTGAAGCAGCCTCATACACATATTGGCAAATTTCCTTCTTTTTCTGGTTGTACCATATTTTTGATGCATAACATTGAACTTGCAGCCAACAGCATTGTAACTCATGTATCAAAAAGGTTTATCTACTTGTATTTTCTCCGTAAGAAATGACATAGCCTTCTCACACTCAGGACACTAAACAGCACCTCAGCACTATTGGGGATCATTTTAAAAAACAAAATCACCAACAAAAAGTACAAAAATTGGAAAAATGTGACACTAAACACACCATGAAAAGAACACTGGTTTACAGTATTAAAGCTGAAACATGTCCAGGCACGGTGGCTCACGCCTGTAAAATCCCAGCACTTTGACAGGCAGAGGCAGGCAGGTCACCAGAGGTCAGGAGTTCAAGACCAGCTTGACCAACATGGAGAAACCCCATCTCTACTAAAAATACAAAAAATTAGCCTGGCATGGTGGCGCATGCCTGTAATCCTAGCTACTCAGGAGGCTGAGGCAGGAGCATCCGTTGAATCCAGGAGGCAGAGGTTGCAGTGAGCTCACATAGCACCATTGTACTACAGCCTCGGTAACAAGAGCAAAACTCTGTCTCAAAAATAATAATTTAAAAAACTGAAACAAAAAGAGCTCCTTCGGCCTCAGCTAGAAACACAGGCACTGAGTGACACCTTTTCATTGCTCTGTGCATGTCCTTGAATAATCACAAATGCACTGAGTAGTGACTTTTAAATTACAAATAAATTTTAAGTAGGTGAAATTGCAAATATAAAATCTGCTAATAATAACAATGAACTGTATATGCATAATTTAAACTCAAGCCATAAATTTAACCACACTGTTTGATTTTGTCCTAATCAGGTTTTACCCTACCCCTGACTCTGCCCACAACCCACCCAGTACCTCTGGTAATAGGTGTCTGAGCGTCCACAGGTAGCCCCTGACTTGCGAAAGACTTCACGGCGCTTCCAGCCAGGGCCCAGGGCTGGGCAGTCCAGCCAGTCCTCAGCCATGGAGGCCACGGGAAGCAGCAGTAGCCTGAAAGGGGGTGGAGGGGGATGAGGGAAACTGAGGCTCTAGTAAGGGACAAAACTGTGCCTCAGGCCACACAAATCACTGGTATCCATTAGTGCTTGCCCAAGACCTAGGATCTGCCATCCCATTCTTTCCTATTCTGGGCCTAAGAGATCCTCATTCCTCAACCCAAGGATCCCCATTTCTTATTCTCAGTGTCCTAATTCCCTACTCCTCTCTATCCTTGGACTGACATCCCATCATTTCTCCTCACTGCCAGTCCACAAACTTTTCATCCTTTCCCCTCATTCCTCCCTGTCATTGACCTAAGTGCCTCTATCCCTCTATTTTATCGCCCCAAGACCCCCATACTCCCCATCCTCAAGCCCCAAAAGGCCCAATTTCTCTTATTCTCACTACTTGACTTCAGCAGTCTTTCATTCCCCCTTCCTTGACCCAGGAGTTCCTAATTTCCCTCCTTCAGTGTTTTAACCGTTCCGTTCCTTCCTTGTCTGATGTCCTCTTATCCTGCTATCTCCGTGTTACAACCTCGACTTCCTCTGCGAGAGACACAACTGCTCCAACCCATGGCCTGAACAGCCCCTCATCTTTTCCATTCCTCACACTGGAAGCCTCCCATGCCTCCCCTTCCTCAGCCAAAGAGCTCCCCACTTATTTTTCTTTTCCTTCGATGTTCTGACCCACAATTTCTCCCCAGTGTCAGCCCCCAAACCTTCCTGTTTCTCTCCTCTACAGCCAAAAAGTTCTCCACTTTTCCCCTTCACTGTTCTCATCCTCCGTTCGTCTCTCATCATCTTGACAGACCCTAATTTCTTCCCTCAGCATTCCGAACCCTCCCCCATTCTCTGTTCTTGTCCCAGGATCATGCCATCCCTAACTGTCAGCGTTCTGATCTCCTACTGCTCCTCGTCCTCTATATGGGGCCCCCATCCCTCCCTTTCAGCATTCCAACGCTTCCATTTCTCCTGTCATCAGCCTGGGGGCCCCTGATTTCTCCCTCAGAGTTCTGAACCCCTATTTCTCTCTCAAATTCAGATGCCCTGATGTCTCCCTTCAGCATTCTGAACTCCACCATTCCACCCCGTCCTCACCCCAGGATCTCGACACTCCTACCTGTCAGAGTTCTGCGCTCCATTCCTTCCCGTCCTGAGCCTAAATCCCCCCATTTCTCCTCGTCAGTATTCCGACGCCGCCATTCCTCCCCCTCATCGGCCTGAGGGCCCTCCATTCCACCCCGTCAGCGTTCTGAGCCTCAATTCCTCCCCATCCTCCGTCTGAGCGCTCTCCACGTCCAGCCCCAAGGCTGTCTCACCAGTCTGGCACCAGACCGGTATCTTCCGCAGCTCTAGGCCCGTGGACCCAAGGCGAGGGTCCCTCCTGCGCCTTCCGCCTCGCCCTCCCCTTCTTCCTCCTCTGCGGCCGCCTCCTCTGCAGCGGTAGCTGTCGCCTCCGCCGCTGTTCGTTGCTCCCGGAACCGGAAGTCCGCTGTCTGCCGCTCGAGCTCCGCCTCTGGCGATGCACCTGCGCGCTAATGCCTTGACGGCGCGTGCCCTTAGTAGGGAGGCTCCTGCGCCTGCGGGCTAGCGCTCGACATCGGTGCGCGAGCCCCCTGCCGGGAACGAGTTGCATCTGCGTGCTGACGTTTAATGTCAGCTCGCGCGCAATCGAAGGACCAGCAACCGCGGCGACCCTCGCTGCCTCTCTGTCGTGCGCATGCGCTCTCCAGTCTAACCTGAGGGGACGTGATCGGGGAGGGCTTGCGCCTGCGCCCTCCGTTTCCTCCGGCGGTCTCCAAAGCGGATGCGGACGGCGGCGAAAAAGCTGGTTCACGCCTGCGCGCTCCTTGGCCCAGGCGGCACTGTACTCTCCCACTTCTCGCTGGGGTAGAGTCTGTGCCTCCAGGTCTCTCCGAACATCAACCCCAGGACTGTCGTGTCCTGCTCCCTCCTCCCCGCTGAACCGCTTCGGGGGCGCGCGGGCCGGGGAAGGGGGCGGTGCCGCTGCACCGCAGGTAAACTGAGGCACGCTGGAGGTCGCGCCCCTGCGGATCGTCAACGTGGGGTTTGTGGGGAAAGAGCGGGGCCTGGCGTCCACAGCGGACGACAGCTCTGGGTGAGAGACAGGAGCACGCGCGGGCGGTGTCACCACACTGAATGCGCGCTGCGTAGACCCTATGCCCATGGGAGGCTGGGAATGTGGGTCCCTGGGCTCTTTCCGGGTGCAGGTGCCCCAATCTTATCCAGGAGTTTGGAACAGTTGCAACCGCAGCAATGTGGAGACAGCTTCCTTAGTTTCTTCAAAATTTTATTAACAAAACCCAGGGAGGGGAGGCAAGAATGAGTGGACTCCGTAGCCCCACCAGGCACTGAACATGGAGACAGGGAAAAACCCTCTGATAAAGGCAGACGGGTGGTCAACCAGTGGATGGGCACAGGGAGAACCAGAGAAACTGATGAGTGGAGGAACGGACACGGGCACCGGGCGGCTCCCCCATCTGGAATGCAGGGTGTGAGGGGTCCGGGCCAGGAGGCTCAGCGGTCGGCACTGGAGCGCAGGTCGGTAGTGAGGGGGTCGTGCTGGATCGTCTGGTGCAGCATCAGGGCCAGCAATCCTGCGCGGTTCGTCATGGCTGTGCGCACGTTGCGCTCCTGCTCAAACAGCTCGTCCAGCTTGTACCACTGCCAAGGGAGCGGCGGGAGTCCTGAGCAGGCACTCCTTAAGTCCCGACTGCCCTCGGCCACGTCCGGCATGGACACCTACCACGTGCAGCACGGAAACCACACGGAAACCTACCACACGCACGCGCTCCAAGTCCACTTCCGCACGCCGCAGCTTCTCCCAGCAGTAATGGCGATTGCACTGGCGCTTAGGCAGGCGGCAGAAGTCACCTGTGAGCTCAAAGACATCACGTACGAGGGGGCACCCGCATACCTCGTCGGCTGGCACCTGCAGGGGGGCCGGGGTGGGGATGAACAGCGGTGATAAGGGAGAATAGGAATGGGGGCTCAAGGAGGGAGAAGGGAAAGAATGGAGGGTTCAAGGGATGGTGAGGAGGCATGAAAAAGGTGAGGAATGGAGAGTGAAGCAGCAGAGAAGGTGAGAGGAAAAAGTGAAAGGTTAAGGTGAAGAAGGAAGGGATGCATGTGGAACAGTGAGGCAGGGAGGAGGGGCAAAATGGGGGGAGCTGAGGGAAAACCTTACTTTGGGGTCCCGTGAGTGCTCGGGGCACAGCACCTGGAGCCGCTTACAGTATGTTTTACTCTGAGGATTATAGACATCACAGAAGAGTCGTGTGGCCCTGGGGGTTTGGAGTAGAGAGAGGGTAGTGGAGGGAGGAAAGAGAGGCCCACCTGTCCTTGCTGGTGCCCATATCCTGCCCCAGCGCCACACACATCCCACTTGTGACCCCCGCCTTAACCCCCACCTGTCACTCCACATGGCACCTTCACTTACCCTTCAATGCGTGTGGGGTACATGGACCCAAAGGACGTCTGGCTCTCATACTGGAGGGATGAGCACAAATGGAGGGAACTGTGGGTGTGCACTGCATGCCCTCCCAAGACACCACCCAGACAACAAATCTGTCCCACACTGGCCCGCTGATGTCCCCACATGGTCCACCCCCTCAGTCTGACACCCCAACCTTGGCATAGCAGCGCTCCATGTGGCGCAAGGCAACACGTGGGTTGATGGGGTGCCCACAGGAAACACAGAAGATCTGCAGGTCTGTGTCATCACTGTCACCCTCATTGCTCTGCATGGGGTGGAAGGAACAGTAAGGATGGGCAGGACAAAGTACTGGGCCCTGCCCCGCTGCTCCTCTGCCTCACCTCCTCATCCTCGCGCACAGCCTGCTGCTTGGCACGAAGAATGATGGCCTCAAGCTCATGGAATCGGCGTTCCATTTCCTGAAGGCGAGTGCGGGCACTCTGCTGCTCTCGGCGAATGCGTTCGAGCAGCTTCTTGCCATGCTCTTCGGCAATGCAAGGACTCTGCTGCCACTGCTGGATGCGCTGGGGGAGGATCTCGTAGATGCGGCTACAGGAAAGGGGGCGAGCAACAGAACGAGTGAGGTGATCAGTAAGTGAGGATGGCAAAATAGATGCACGACTAAATGGCAAATGGAGAAGTAATAGGTGACGAGTAGAATGGTGAATGGATGGACACATGGGCAGATGGATGGGTAGGTGGTTGGGTTAAGTGGGTAGTGGCTGTTTGGTGACTGAATGGTGGATAGGTGATTGACTGGTAGACAACAGAAGGCTGTGGTCAGGCCCTACCATGTACTTCCTGACTCCCTTGAACCCCCCAGGAATGACTCACTTGGCTGCCAGCTTCATGCCACAGTCATCTGAGCAATACTTGGAGCTGGGCTGGGCGGGGCGCACACAGCCGGGCCCCAGACACTGAGGCAGCGACGCAGGGTCCTTGGCATCGTTCCTCTCTGGGTGTTTCCATTTATCCTTGTGCTTCTGCTTCTGCCGATGCCGCTTGTACCGCTCCTCCTTCTGTGGAGCAAGATGGGTCAGGTCAGGGTGGAGTCAGTCAGCCCCAGACCCCTGTCTCCTGCTCCATTCCAGCCCTTTCTGGCTCTTGCCCCATTCAGCCTCTGAGCTCTGCCTCTCCCTCAACCCCACCCTCTGCATTTCCACATCCATTTTACCCTCTCCATCACCTTCTTCTCAGACTTCTTCTCCCGACGCTTCACATGCTTCACTTTCACTGCCCTCTTCCGCAGCGCGGGGTCCAGGAATGGGGACTCTTCTGTGTCACTCATCCAGGGCTGCAAGCAGGGCATGCACTGACCCACCTGCCCCCCTCATGACAACCCCACCACCTACTCATGTCCCAAATCAGCCTTCCGTACCCTCTGTCTCATTAGGGATACTCTCTGCTTCTGTCACCTCCACCCTTCCACCAGGGTATGTTCCTGTCTGCTCACCAGGCCGTGGTCATCAAAGGCCCCTGCACAGAAGTCCTGATACAGGTCAGGATCCAGAGGTAGGTCCTCATCTGAGAGTGGCTCAGGCGTGGCTGTAGCCTCAGGAGGCTCCTTGACTGCTGATGACGCCACTGCCCCCTCATCTTCACGCATGCGCCCTAACTTCTGTGACGGCTGTGGCTGCTGCTGGGTGGGCAGTGGCCGGCGGGGCCTTGGCAGGGACTCTGAGGGCGTCACTGGTGAGAGCTGCAGGGCAGAATCTCAGGACTGGCCCTGACCGCCCTGCCCGCATGCCCCGCCCTGCCCTGGGGGGCTGGACTCACCGAGGAAGGGAAGTACTTGTACGATTCCTGTGCCGGCAGGAGGAAGGCCCAGGTCAGCCCCAGGTGGATGGAGTGTGGCCTTGCCCTAGCCCCACCCACTTGGCTTGGCCTTGCCTCCCTAGACATACCTCCCCGATACGCCTCATTACCAGGATATGCTCAGCCCTGCCTGATCCTCACTGACATGCATGAACACCTGGAAACACCTGGCCCCACTCTGTCCACCCAGGGTTAGTGGGGTTTCTGCCAGCCCAGCATACCTGGTCATGCCCCATTCATCTGGACATGATAGGCCCCTTCCCACCTATCTAGTCAGGCCCAATCCCACCTAGCCCATGCCTGGACTTAACTAACCCTGCATGGACCCACCAGCTCTCCCACACCTGACCATACCCAGCTCTGTCCATGCTCACCCGGGCCCGCAGCTGGCACTGGCGCAGCCGGCACTTCTGCCGGATCTTGTTGGGGCCTCCAAACTTTTTCATGTCCCGACAGAAGTCACAGTGACCACAGTCCTCAGTGCGCCGACATGCCTCACACTCACCACACATGCGGGCTGATCGTTTGATCTGCTGCTGCTGCTGCTGATGATGCTGGAGGAGGGGGTCCCAGAACAGAAATCATGGACCCAGGCCGGGCCGACACGAAACTACTTTACACATCCACTCACTTTATACAGCCACTCACCTGGCTAGGCGTGGCCACCAAGGGCTGCGGAGAGGATTTGTGGGGTGAAGCAGAGCCCCGAGCAAGCATGGCCCCAACCCCTGTCCCTGACCCTGCCCGGCGCTGCAGGTCGGGATCTGGGACAGGCCTCTTGCGCCCTCCACCCTCATCCCGGGGCTCACTGCCGTCCCGCTCATTGCCATCCCGCTCCCGTGACTTCTTGTGCCGATAGCGAATCTCTAGCTTGGGGTCCTTCTCTGTGGGGCAGAGAGTGGGGCTAAGGTGAGCACTGGAGGGCGTGAATGGTCCCAAAACCTCTTTATTCCCCTTCTCTCCCTTACCGTCCCACTTACCTACTCTGCACTTCTGTACACAACAGAGCTGCCACTTCCCGTGGTATCTTCTATTATCACTCACAATGCAGCCCCCATTCCAGCTCACCATAGACATGTATTACTACTCCCCATTATCCCCCACTGTGGCTCCCCCTCCTCCCCTGAAGCTCCACCTGCCTTCTTTGTCCATGCATGGCCCTCACCTCGGCACTCCCGACAGTACCACTCCCGGATGGCCTTGGCCATCTTCTCAGTGATC